CAAAAATGTCAAGTGTGAAAACCTCTTCTGCATACGAAAAATTATATGATGTCAAAATTCAGGGTGTTACCAAGCTGCATAGGATGCAGATGGAATGAATAATGCGTGCTCAGCTGGAGCATGTGCCTCGCACCCTGGCTCCTTCTAAGTCCTCCCATAGTCCACGAAGTGTATCTCCTCTGGGTCTTCACTCACCTTTGGGACCTATTGGTCCAGAGGGTCCTTCCAGACCCCCCTGCCCAGGTCGGCCTGGCTCCCCCATGGGCCCTGCCCGGCCTGGAAGCCCATCTTTTCCAGGGGGCCCTGGAGGCCCCGGTCTGCCTTGAGATGCCTTCATGTGTGCTGGGGGCATCTGTCCCAGGAGGTAGGCAAGTTTGGCTAAGAATAGGAAAAAGAGAGAGACATTTCATGAGGAAGGTGTAGAGGACAAAGAGCTAGATGGCAACTCACTGTGAAGCTTGGAACTGAGGGGACAATAACAATGGCAAAACCCACACCAGCAACACACACATAGCACGTGTGCTGCACCTGTACCTGCACCTTCTGACTGGGCTGGCCACAGAGGGTGGGTTCAATCAGAGGTGGGTGTCACCGCCCCCGGGATCCCAGGGCAGCCACTGCCAGCCACACTTTGTTAAAAATACATGTAGGAACCATTAATGACTCTGAATTTAAGAGAACCATTTAGGGGCCGGCCCGGTGGCGCACTGGATAGTGTGCCGCTTGGGAAGCGTGGCGGCGCTCCCACCCGAGGGTTTGGATCCCACATACAGACCGGTTCCCGCTCACTGGCTGAGCGAGGCGCAGGAGCAACACCGAGGGTTGCAATCCCGTTGCCGGTCCCCGGTCCGGTACGGNTGGAGTGTCCTGACCACCTCCAAGAGCCAACTTTGTTTGCCATACAGTCACAGATAACCAGGTTATGGGGGCTCTGCCCTCCTGGGTGGCATGGCATTGTTCTTGTGGAAGTGAGTTCTCACTCTTGTGAGACTGGATTTGTTCCCGTGAGAGCGGTTTGTAATAAAGCAAAAACACCCTTGTGTTTTGCCCCTTCACGCATGTCTTCTTTTTCTTTGACTTTCCACCATATATGACACATCACACAAGCCCTCACTAAAAGCTGAACCAGTGCTGGCACCATGCTTCTTGGACTTTCCTGCCTCCAGAACTGTGAGCCAAATTGACCTCTTTATAAGCTACCTAGTCTCAGGCATTCTATTATAGCAACACAATAAGGATTGAGATACCCCTCATCTTGTGTGACTGAGACCAGAGAGGTCAGGAGGCTACCAAGGCCCCCAGTGTTCTGGTAGTAAGACAAAGGTGGAATCAGGGTCTTCTGATGCCTGGTTGGCCCACTTCCTCTGGCAGCCCCTTCCTCNAAGCTTGGAACTGAGGGGACAATAACAATGGCAAAACCCACACCAGCAACACACACATAGCACGTGTGCTGCACCTGTACCTGCACCTTCTGACTGGGCTGGCCACAGAGGGTGGGTTCAATCAGAGGTGGGTGTCACCGCCCCCGGGATCCCAGGGCAGCCACTGCCAGCCACACTTTGTTAAAAATACATGTAGGAACCATTAATGACTCTGAATTTAAGAGAACTATTTAGCTGGGTGGCCTTGGGCAAGCCACTAACCTCTCTCAGCCCTGGATTTCCTTTTTATGAAATGGAGGCAATTTAATAACACCTACCCCACTGGGTTGCTATGAGGATAGAATAGATGAGACTGTGCCCATAAAATAGTGCCCAGCACAAGGTAAGAGCTCAGTGGACACCAGCTGCCATTGTAATCTTCAAAAATTAGCTGAAACACGCCTTACTTTCCTATCTAAAATTACCTCAAAGGTACCTTGCAGAGTATAAGCTGAGCATAGGAAGGGAGAAGACCTTCACCTCCAGATAACTTCAGGAATCTGAAAATTCTCCACCCAGGTCCTGGATCCAGATTTGACCAGTTAGAGAACTAGACTCAGAATTGACCAATCAGCTCCTGACTTCATCAATCAATCAATCCCTGCTTGTTCCAGCCAATCAGTGTGGCCTCATTATACTATCTGGCCTGACTTGGAACTAGCCAATCCCCTTTTGTCCCATCACATGGCCTGATTCGGAGATAGCCAATCAGGACTACCTATTACCCCTTTAAAGCCTGTTCAGCCCCTGGTACTGAGAGTCAGACATGAGAGCTGCACCTCCTTGTCCACACTCGTGGACTTCGTGAATAAAGCCTTTCTTCTTACAGAAGCCGGTGTCATGGCATTGGATTGTGTGTGCACCAGGCAGCAAGCTCTTGCTTGGTAATGCTGTCACTGTGGCAGGACTGACTGCAGCGAAAGTGTCTTGGCAGTAGCAGTAGATATTAAGTGGCTTACACAAGCTATTTTGTGACTTTCCCTCTCTGAGTGTTGAATTCCTCGTCTAAAATCTGAAGGGCTGGATGTGACAGTCATTAAAGATTCTTATATGTCTAAAGTGTTAAGATTACAGAATTGATTAAAAATCTGAGGTCCAATTGCTCATCCTGCATGCTTTTCTACTGGACAGGAGATGGAGTGTCCTGACCACCTCCAAGAGCCAACTTTGTTTGCCATACAGTCACAGATAACCAGCTCCAAACCCCTGCTATGGTTTGAATGTGGTTTGTCCCCCACCAAAACTCATGTTGAGGCTTGGTCCATAATGTGGCAGTGTTGGGAGGTAAAACCTTTAAGAGACTTGGGTTATGGGGGCTCTGCCCTCCTGGGTCGCATGGCATTGTTCTTGTGGTAGTGAGTTCTCACTCTTGTGAGACTGGATTTGTTCCCGTGAGAGTGGTTTGTAATAAAGCAAAGACACCCTTGTGTTTTGCCCCTTCATGCATGTCTTCTTTTTCTTTGACTTTCCACCATATATGACACATCACACAAGCCCTCACTAGAAGCCGAACCAGTGCTGGCACCATGCTTCTTGGACTTTCCTGCCTCCAGAACTGTGAGCCAAATTGACCTCTTTATAAGCTACCTAGTCTCAGGCATTCTGTTGTAAGCAGTACAATAAGGATTAAGATACCCCTCATCTTGTGTGACTGAGACCAAAGAGGTCAGGAGGCTACCAAGGCCCCCAGTGTTCTGGTGGTAAAACCAAGGTGGAATCAGGGTCTTCTGATGCCTGGTTGGCCCACTTCCTCTGGCAGCCCCTTCCTCCCACTCCTCTCATAAGGTAGCAGGAGAGCATGTGGTCTTCTTCTGTGATGTTGGCAAATTGTTTAACTTCTTTGAGCCTTGATTTTCTCATCTTTAAAGTGGAGTTGATACTTCCTTTTCAAAAGATCATTTGGAAGAAAAGACTCAGCCCAGCAGATGCTCCATCCAAACCAGTGCAAAACAAGTATTGTTACTAGGAGCAAATACACTAGGTGTCTTTGGCTGGAAATTCCCCAAGGGCAGAGGCCATTTGTGACTCTGGAAAATCTAACCCTAAGAAGGCAGAACATGGAGACACACAGTCCATAGGACATGACTACCAAGTGGGACCCACAATTCCAGCCTTCGTTTCCTTCCTTCCATCACCCCCTTTACCCACCCAAAACCTACTCCTCCTGTCTGCTCCAGGAAGTGATCTTTCCCTTTACATGTATGGAGATGGACCATGTTCACCTGGTGTCCTCATACCCAGCACAGGCACATGGGAGGTGCAAAAGAACTGAGACATGACCACATGAATAAATGTGTCCTCCCTTCTGTCCACTTGTGCCTGCAAAGTAGTTATGAATTTCTCTTCTTTCCTGCAGTAGGATCATCTGTGAATTTCTTCTCCCAACTTTCCATCATAGAGGAAATGGGCTATTACTCAAGAGAGCATGGCTGTGAAGAGCATAGATTTTGCAGCGAGGCTGCCCGTGTGCTCTGGCCAGACACTTACCACTTCTGCAACCTTAGGTAAGTGACGTAGCATATCTGCTTCTAGCAATCCTTCCAACAATCATTCGTGCTGCCTGAGATAGTTGGGAGGCTTCAACAGGTTAACATATGAAGCTCCGAGAATTACACCTGACTACAGCAAAGCCCTACAAGCTGGCATTATTTCTCTTACCATCCCACCTTTCCCCCTCTCTGAGCATCTGCTATGCACAAGACACATGCCGGACTTGGGTATTTAGCAATAAATCTAATAGAAAAGAATTAAAAGAATTTTAGTTCCTTGAAAGCACTTTGAGTTCCTGCTTTCCTGGGGGTTTTGGCATATGCTACGGCAAAGGTCTGAGGTCTCATCCCATCTTTCAACTCCCAGCTCACCTGGCCCCTCCTCCAGAAAACCTTTCCTCATCCACTCTCTCCCCTCTGAGCTATCTTAGGTATGCCCTTCTGTCCACCTTCAATGCCCTCTGTGCCAAATTAAACCACAGAATCTTTCTTATTGTACTGAAATCATCTTATCTGTTTCTTTATCTTTCTCCTCCCCTGGACTGTGAGTTCTGTGAGGCCCATAGCAGGCCTCCCAAGATTATTTATTGATTAAATAAATGCTTGCATGCACAGAAAAAATGAATGATCATAGCAGAGCTGATTTTGTAGATGGTAAGATCTCCTTTGCTAAAGATAATCAAGCAGTCGCTGAAGGACCACTAAAGAGAAGCTCTGTAGGGGAGTCTGTGTGTCAGATAAGGACTGGACTAGAGCCTTCGAGGTGTTCAACCCTGATATTCCACATCTGAGCTGCTCTTGGGGTGACTTTTCCAAGTCAGGTTGCAAAAGTACCAAAGGACGAATGAAAGGACTGCTTCCTGGGGCTCTGATCTGCAAGGCTGCAATGAAGTCCAACTACTCACTTTCCAGCTGCTTCCCAAGCTCTTCTTGAATAAGCCGCCGCAGGGTGTCCATGGATGGAGACTCACCCTAGGTGGAAGAGAAGATAGTTATTTATCATTCCAGTGACTCCTGCCACCCAGGACCCTCAACAGTGCAAGAAATTAAGTTTGTGTGCCATATATACATGGGGTAGCACATCTTCCTCATCTAATCCTTTCCACATCCACATTCCTTTCCTCCTTTCTCCTTCACACAGCAACAGCATCCTATTTTATACAGCAGCCTGGATGCTAGGCCCTCTAGACCACCACACCCTCCCAGCTCCTTTGGTGGATTTCCTCTCTGTACAAACCACTGTGCCCATGAATTCCACCCACACACTCTTCCCAGCACTGAACCTGGGAGGTCTGGCTCCTAATTTCTCTCTGACAAAGTCCTGTCCACCTCCCAAACACAGCTTATGGC